AAGTGATCTCCATCTGCTTTCATTATCAGGTTCTGTTGCGTGCCCGTGGACTTTGAAGTTGTCAATGTGGACTCATCCGTGGCGTCAGAGGATGACATCAATAATGCCATAATGGCTATCAGACGCAATGGAGTTGCACTAAAAGGTAAGTGTGTGTGAGAAACAATGAGCCTGATATATATAATATATAATGTACACTGTTTTGTCTTTATTATAGTCGTCATTCTTTAGGTGTAACTTTGTTTATTCAGGTAACATTGAGACCAACCACAACCTGCCACCATCCTACAAGTCCAGAAACAACCTGCTCCGGTAAGTCCTCCATCTTCCATCTTCCTCGTCTTAAAAGTCACCATTGCTAAACAATAACAAAAGAGGAAGTCTGATGAGGTGGTGAAGCAGCGTGGGATCATGGGAGTTGTTGTCTTCACCACCATTGGCGTCATTGCAGTCAGCTTCTCCCGGTTAGGATTCCTTCAGTGTTCATGGTTCAGGAGGTTTCTACCAGGAGCCCAATGATCTACAGAGTAAACCTAGAGTTAAAAAGCACCAAGATCTAAACAGTGGATGGTAACAATGTGGCTTCAGACTGGATCAACAGTCAATGTATGACAGCTTCTGGCAGACAACCACAACGCTGACGCAGGCACAAAGGGGATATCGACATCCCCTTTGCCATCGACAGGCGACCGGTGAAACGCAGCGTTACCTGAATAAAATGTTTGAACATTGTTGAAAACATTTGGGATAAAGTAAGAACTCAACTACATATAGAACATAGAGCTAGAGTTTATACACTGTTTGATGAGGAAGTTTTAAACAACAACTGTTTCAGATCTGCAGCTGCAGGGTTGAACTGTTCAGTCCTGCTTTGTGCTCTCATATTCCATCTGTCTGTCTCCATCTGTCTTCCTGCTCTCTCTCTCTCTGCAGCACCACTCTGGATCTGTACGCCAACGTGATGCACTGCCAGTCCCTACCGGGAGTGAGGACTCGCCACAGAAACATCGACATCATGATCATCAGGGAGAACACGGAGGGAGAGTACAGCAGCCTGGAGCACGAGGTGTGTGAGTGTGTTTTTATAATCACTCAACACAATTATACCAATCTAACCTTTGTGTTTCTCCACTCGTTCTCTGTCTCTGCAGAACGTACCGGGCGTCGTTGAATGTCTGAAGATCATCACCAAGACCAAATCTCTACGCATCGCTGACTACGCATTCAGGACTGCTCGGGCCAAAGGACGCAGACGAGTCACTGCCGTGCACAAAGCTAACATCATGTCCGTTCCTGTTTGTCTTCCTTTTTATTGATCTTCTCTATAAAACAAACGATACATCTCAATGTGTGTTTGTTGGAGCAGGAAGTTGGGTGACGGGCTCTTCCTGGAGTGCTGTAAGGAGGTCGCCAGCGGTTACCCTGAAATCACCTTCGACAGCATGATTGTGGACAACACCACCATGCAGGTAGCTCCGGCAAGTCTGTACACGGATCTCTTTTAAAATACAAAACGTACAAATGTCTAAAGACTGTACTTGTGACATGATGTTTTGTGTGTGTGTGTGTGTGTGTGTGTGTTAGCTGGTTTCCAGGCCCCAGCAGTTCGATTTGATGGTCATGCCCAACCTGTATGGCAACGTGGTGAGCAATGTGTGTGCCGGGCTGGTCGGCGGACCCGGCCTGGTGCCTGGAGCCAACTATGGAGAGGACTACGCCGTGTTTGAGACGGTGAGAGGATTCAGACGAAGCACAGAGACCATCATTAGCATTCATGTTTGGTCTCCAACATCCCCTGAGGGAGATATTTGGCTCCTCTGGCTCCTCTTAGTGCTCCTAATGGAGTTTTAATTGTTGAGTCAAGGACGTATCTCTCTCTGGGCTCTGATGAATTCATTGTATGGCTTCTTTGTCCGTAATCCTGCTGACAAACAAACAAACAGCAAAAACATAATAATAATGAAATATTAAAGCTGCTACGTCCCCTCATGAAGCCCGTCTTTCTGTGTGCAGGGCACCAGGAACACCGGGAAGAGCATCGCTAACCGTAACACAGCAAACCCCACGGCCATGCTGCTGGCCTCCTGCCTGCTGCTGGACCACCTGAAGCTCCACGCCTACGCCAGCATGATCCGCAGGGCCATCCTCTCCACCGTCAGTGAGACTCGGGTACGCGGCGCCGGCATTGGTGTATCACGTGTCACATTTCTGATGTGTAAGTTAGAGGATATTCTGCTCACATTGTTGTTTCTCTCTCTCTGTGTGCGTCATCCTCTTTGTTCTCCAGCTGCACACTGCCGACCTCGGAGGACAAGGCTCCACCTCTGAAGTGGTCCAGTCCATCATGAATGCTGTTCAGAGCACCGGGCCTCAGACTCTGAGCATCTAGAACAAACACACATAAAATATAGAAACTGTCTCTCACAGCAGAGACGTGTGTGTGTGTGTGTGTGTGTGTGTGTGTGTGTGTTAGTGTGCCTCTCTTCAGTGTTTGATAGGAACACTGAAATATCTATGCAATAGTTTCCTTCTTATCTTCACATAGATTGTTTCACTGTTATTTAAAGTTTGTTTGAGCACTTGGTTTGAAGCTTTACTTTCCCATCATACTGTTGACTGTGTGAAACACTCGGGGTTCCCACGTGTCCTGGAAAACCTGGAAATCAAGAGACTAGTGTTCCAGTCATGGAAAACAGCTGGAAATTGATTAAAATGATCAAATATCCTGAAAATAATCTGTGTTCTCCTGGAAATGTTTGTGTTTTAGGCCCTCTGATCGGCTCTGTAAACCTGGGTGTGTATTTTGTTTGAAACTCGACTGTTGGACACTTCAGAGCAGGTCCACCAGGTCTTCTCAATATCAGGTCTATTTGTTCCAGAGTTGGGAGCAAAACTCTCATATGTCCTTGCATTACAGGCTATTAATGATCAAATCTCTTGTTGCTGTGGTTGATAAATACACACAGTGATATTAATTGTACGTGAAATTAACAATTTAACCTTCTAGAAGATTAATTTTCTGTAAAATAAAATTAATTCTACTTGATTTGAACTGTAACTGAAGGACTGTGGCCACATTAATGGAGTCAATCTGCCTGAAACTGTAGTTTATATGAAGCACTGTCCTGTATTGTCCAGAAAAAAACTCCTGGTAAATGATTTATTAGAAAGATTGGGAACCCTGAATACCTCAGTAGTGCTGTTTGAGTTCATCCTTCCCATGTTTATTAGTTTGTTTCATTTATTTATTTAGTATAACTTATTTTAAAGCAATCTCAGCTGTTGTTCGTCCACCAAACGTTTTGGGCAACAGTTACCTCTAATAAAGCTAATAAAGCTAATAAAGTCTCTGCAGTTCATTATTCTGTCTGTGCTGAAGCAAACCTGTATGAATGTGTGTTGCAGTGGCTCGTCGGCACCACACGGAGGCCACATTGTCTCGTGTAACCACCAGTGTTGAAGCCTTACTAGAAACAGTATTACAGTAATAATATTATTTCCCTCTGTAACTATTAGTGTAACTAATTACTAATACAGTTCAGTAATAATAATATAGCTAGCTCCCAATATCCAATCATATCCCAGGATTTATTTTGTAGTTGTGTATCTCATGAAACAGGAAACTAGTTTTGATTTTAACAAACAAATCTGGATTTTTTTGGGGGAGAAAAGACACAATTACCAATTTTATGGGGTGCAGCAGAAATATATAATTAGTAGTGTAACTAATTACAGTTGGTAGGGAGTAATAAGTAAAGAGATAAGATATTACTTTTTAAAAAGAGTAATGAGTTACTGTCAGTTGTTTTCTGCTCTCTAATAGTCGTATTAGTTGTGTTTTTATTGACAGCAGTAATGATAACTTTATTTTACCCAAAGTGCTTCAGGATTAAAAGCAAAATTCAGCAGGAAACAAAAAACTTAAAACAATTAAATGTTTGATAACAATAAAACCAACAGGAAGATTAAATGAGATTAAAAGCAAAATATAAAATCTAAGCTCTGACAAAGTGGGATTACTCCTCATTAAAAGACAGATTAAGAAGTTAAGTCTTTGATTTTTAGACGGAGACTGTTCCTGTGCCCCACCGGGGGGCCCGACCCACAGTTTGAGAACCACTGCCGTAAAAAAAAACAAAGCAGCACAACCTGATTTCTTGTGAGCAACAGCAGGAAGGTCTGAAAGAGAGGCAGCGGAGGATCTGAGGGTTGCAGTTGGAACATAAAATGAAAGGCAGCCGCTGATAGAAGAAGGTGCAGGTTGTTGTTTAAGGTTCATAAAGGACTTTAAAAGCAGCTGTGAGGTCTTTTTCTTTCATGTATTAGTTAAAAGTCTGTCTGCAGCATCCTGAAATAACACTTCCAGATGTGTATGTTGTGTTTTGAGTGTTTGTTGTGCAGGCTGTAGCAGTGGAGGTATTAATAGTAGTAACAGGCTCTACTGTATAATTTATAATGTAATATTAGTTTATATGTGTGGAATTGTGATGCACTCTGTGTGAAACTTTGTTACCTGGTTAAATAAAATAAGAATAAATATCATACATCAGTAATAATACACATGATCTATGAATGTATGCATAATATAGATATGAAAGATATTTTATATATATTAATTTGAGTAGAAGTAACTCAAGTATTTATTGTAAAATTAAGTTAATTGTACTAATTACGTTCAGTTAATTGAAGTTATGTCTCTAATGCAGCATTAAGAATTATTTGGATATATAGTTGTTCATATGATGATTAACAAACTGAAATATCCTGAGTATATATATAAATATATGTAAAACATAATAATGATTATATTTATATAATAATACAAAGTAAACTGAAATAACTGGATTGTTTTAAGTGCATTTAAATTTAGTTTAGATTTTTAACATTTAGTGATTGATTACGTCAGCTGTTTATCAGGTAATGTAATAATAATGTAAAGTAGTAGAGTAGATTCACCTGAGGTGGAAGATTAATTTAAGTGATTTTATTCAGATAAATTCTGTTCACACATTTTAAATAAGTTTGGAGAAATGTTGAATATGAGTCTAATAGTTTTAATGGAACTGATACAATTAACTTAATTTACCCAATAAACTATAAACTATAATAAACAAATCTTATTTTCATGCTTAAATAGTTTGAGTTAATGAACTTAAACAGTTTATACGTGATCGGTTTGAGTTGAATTAATTCATCAGGTTTTACAGTGAAAACACTTAAAATACTGAAAACATTTAAGTTAAAAAACAACTGAGTGGCTTTTTTATGGAGGATTAATTTATATTAACTTACTTCTTTTATTAAGATCTGTTGTGTCGAGTCCTTTAAATTCAATTAATTGAATTAAATTGGTACAATTAACTTACGTTGAGTTACTTTTACTCAAATCAAATATCTTTTCACGCTTAAGTTGTTGGAAGTGATAAATTTAAACAGTTTGAGTCTCATTATTTAGTTATTTTCTATCATCAAATATAATAAAAAAGTTTATAAAAGTCACCAACTGGCGGCTTTAACATCTTCACAGACTCCAGAAATCAGTTTCAGGGTGAACGGCGAACGTGTGTGCGAGCTCATGTTGTTGTGTGCATGTTTAAGGTCACTCAGCGGGCCCCTCGATAATGAGAGGCTCCACCAAATGAGGGAGCAATTGAGGGGAAGCAAACAGATTAATGCGCTGTCAGAAAGAGAAAGAAAGAAAGAAAGAAAGAGGAGGAAGACAGGAAGGAATGCAGGAGGGAGGCAGGAAAGAGAGAGAGAGAGAGAGAGAGAGAGAGAGGGGTAAAAAACAGGGAGCAGGGGTGAGAAAGCAAAGGCAACCTTCCTCCTGTTGCTGCCTCCTCTACATCCCATCTGTCACAACATCTGACACTCTCTCCCTCCCTCCCTCCCTCCCTCCCTCCCTTTCTCACCCACTGATGAAAACACACACGTACACATATCAGTTTTAATGTGAGTGTATGAAAAAGGGCTTTGATCATTCTGGGAGGCTAATAACAGAAACCTCATTTGATCTCCTGCCCTCACCCGCACTCACCCGCTCTCTCCCCCGTCTCTGCTCCGTCTCTGCTCCGGACAACGAGCAACATGGGTAATATCTAAACAATCAACAGGAAGTGACATTAATTCACCACCACAGCATCAAAGGAGAGGAGAGAGAGAGAGAGAGAGAGACAGAGAGAGAGAGAGAGACAGACAGACAGACAGACAGAGAGAGAGAGACAGAGAGAGACAGAGAGAGAGAGAGAGAGAGAGAGAGAGAGAGAGAGAGAGAGAGAGAGACAGACAGACAGACAGACAGAAGAGAGAGAGAGAGAGAGAGAGAGAGAGACAGACAGACAGAGAGAGAGAGAGAGAGAGAGAGAGACAGACAGACAGACAGACAGACAGACAGACAGACAGAGAGAGAGAGAGAGAGAGAGAGAGACAGAGAGAGAGAGCTCCCCTTCTCGTCTTTTTCGTCTCCCCACTTTTCATAAAATCCCAAAGAGGCGAAGAAGAGGGAGGAGGTGTGTGTGTGTGTGTGTGTGTGTGTGTGTGTGTGTGTGTGTGTGTGTGTGTGTGTGTGTGTGTGTGTGTGTGTGAGAGAGAGAGAGAGAGAGAGTGGAAGAAGGGAGGAGATGGGGAGACAGGAGTCAGCAGTGAGCTGGCAGAGGTCACCCTCAGAGTAATAAGCAAGGGGGGAAAGCTCACACACACACACACACACACACACACACACACACACACACACACAGCATGGATGCAGCTAGTGTGTGCAACAGCAGATCATGTTGTCCCGGCTCCTGCAGACGCTTCACGGGACGCTGAGGACGAGGACGAGGACGAGGTGAGTTCACTGGGCTCAGATCTGATCGGTTTCAGGTGGAATCGATCAGATCTGAAGTTTTAAAGGATTTTAATTGTTTTTGTTTCCGTGTGAAGAAGAACGAGTGTTTGGGCAGCAGGTGTCCGGGCTTATAATTGGATTAAAATAGCTGGAAGATGTCAACAAACTTTTTGTGTTTGTGGTTTTTCTGATTCAAACTGGAGACGTTCAGCAGTTTCTGTGTTTAAAACCTGTTTTTAACGTCTGAAAGTGAGTTTCCACCTTCATATTCTTCATATTCTTCATATTTAACATCCTCAAGGGGCCACTAAAAGGTTTTATTACAACAGGAAACTCTTGATTTCATCTTTCTTTTACTGTTTCCAGTCTTTTCAGAATAAATTAAAAAGCTGCTTTTTCAAGACAAGTGAATCTGGTTTAATGTTGAGCTTTATTTTATGTTTATTTCTGCTTTGTTGAAAGAAAGACTATAAATTATATTATTATAGTAACACTTTATATTAATGTAACATATTATTAACTAGTTGTTTATTAGAAGACTCTTTATTAGTCATTATAAAGCTGCTGTTGGTAATTAAAAACAAACCTTCACTACATCCTGACAGCAGATGAGATAATCAATGAGACTCAACAACAAGCTCTCTCGGCTCTGATTGGTTGTTTTCGTTTGCAGACGCCATCAGGAGGAACCAGAGGAAGCTGATATGTTCACAGATTATCTGTCTCATGTTTCTACAATCAGGATAAAGTGAAAGTTTCAACAAATATGATAAAAAAAGTTAAAGTTAAAATAAAAGTTACCGACTGCAGCTTTAATTCCTTATTCTGATCGTTTCCCTTCAGTAATCTATAAACTGGTTATTGATAGTAAGCTGTTGTATATGAAGAATGTGACATTAATTTACATTAAGTACTTCTGCTTTTGGCTTTTGTGAATTTATAATTATGAATTATCTCCAATATATATTAAATATTTTAAATCACACTGGACCTTTAAAATCACTGAATAAAGACGAGAAATAAAACAATTTGTAATTTCTAAAGCCAACTTTAGATATTTATATTCAATGTTTGACTATTTATGTGCCACAAAAACAAAGTGTTTGACTTTAAATATCTTCATTTGGGGGATTTTCCAGACAGATATTAATACATGTGATTGTTGTTCTGATTATTATGTGAATATTTCTCCCTGAAGACTTTGAATTTAAATATTTTTCCATCCGTTTGCTCCTAATCCTAATCCTAATCCTAACCGGGAGAAGATGACTGCAATGACAGCCACAACGGCACCCTCCGTAGAAGCGGACCTGTTGCTTCTGTAGATAAAAACTGGACCTTTAATGTGAAATCTTGACAGCCGTCAGATAAACGTAGTAAACGTTGTATGTTTGTATTTCCCCTCATTAGCCGCGGCCCATTAGCGCTCAGTAAACAGTCCCTAACGAGGGGGCCTCCCTCTACATGCCTCTGAACGAGTGTGTGAGCCACAACAAGTTTCATTGTCTCACAATTAATGTGCTCACAGGAGCCCGACCGTACACATACGCCCCTATTAACTTCAGCTGTGTGTGGGTGATTACCCACAATGCCTGTTTCATAACCTTTCGATGTCACAGTGCAGCCAATACGAGCGAGGGGTTAACTAAAGAAACCATCATGCAACACATTACCAGGCAGGGGAGGAAAGGAATTACCGTAAAACTTCTAATAATAGCCCGGGCGATTATTTGCTTAAATCCCTGAACTCCCCCTGCCTTTATTGGGGACAGGCCTTTATTTGGGACAGGCCTTTATTGGACACAGGCTTTTATTTGGGACAGGCCTTTATTTGGGACAGGCCTTTATTTGGGACAGGCGTTTAATTCCTTTAGCAAAAAACTAACCTAAAGTCTAATAATTGCTGCTTCTCTTGAGTTTTGTTCAGCAAATTTGCCAACTAACATAATGATTATTATCGCTTTAGTTGTTTTTTTCCCGTCTCTCTTGTTTACCGTGTTTCCGAATGAATTAACGTTAAACTTTGGTGTTGATTGTTTGCGTAAAATATTGTGAACGATTGAATTGAGGAGAATCTAACTGATTAACATTCATATTTGGGTAGGAGATCGAAACGACTTTTAACTCGCGACTATTTCTATAAAATCCAGAGCAGGCCTCTATTGGAGACCTGTGTTTATTTGTCAAAACGTGCAGCCACACCAGGCTTTTAAACGAGACCTGCATCGATTAGGGACCCTGCTTTTATTGGAAGTTTTATGGTAAGTAACGTTCATTCAAGTATTTAAGTACAATTTTGAGTTATTTTTTTACTTTTTATTTCATTTGTTTGACAGAAGAAGTAATCAGATGCTTTATGTAAGAAAGTATGATCAGGAAACTACAGCAAACGTACAAAACAGGAGTTTTTAACTAGTAACTATTTTATACTGATGCTTCTATAGGAAAATAAATAACAACAAACTACATAAACAAACAAACAAACTGTGAGACGATTATTTCTACATAGCAGAAAAAACTTTTTATTAACTTTAAACTGCAGTAAAGTTCCTTTTTGATCTGCTTAAACTATCAAAAGTAAAAGTAAAACAGTTTTATTATATATATGTAATGTTTCTGGATTAATATTATTGCTGCTTTAATGTTTAATTTTAACTACTTTATTTACTTCAGGATTATATTTTAAAGGTCGAGTGTGAAACATTGAGGAGGCAGAAATATAATATTTATATGTTTGTTTTAATTAGTTTAAAATCACCTGAATATAAGAGTAACATTTTTCTACAGTCGACCAGAACGTTCGTTGTGTTTCACAGCGACTGTAGTTTCTCCTTCAGGGAGGGTGAAGCGGGGGAGTTGCAATCTGCAACCACTAGACGCCACTAAGTCCTCCACGCTTTTCGTCACACGTCTCTACATTTATCTCCTCTTCCTCGCCTCCACCCAGCCAACATGTCAGTCTCCATGGCGACCGACTCCTACCCGTCCGTCGACTGGTCCGTGGTCTCCGTGGTGACCGTGACCCCGGCGGGAGCGAACGCCACGGGCTGGGAGCGCGACGCTGTTGTAGCGGTGGCGGAGGTGGTGGTGCTGGCTGTCATCCTAGTGATGGCGTTGCTCGGCAACGGGCTAGTGCTGGTGGTGTTGCTAAGGCGGAGACGACACAACAACCCTCTGCACCAGTTCATGCTCAACCTCTGTCTGGCCGACCTGGTGGTGGCGCTGTTCCAGGTAACACACACACACACACACACAGGTAACACACACACACACACACACACACCCCACACACACACCCTGCAGCTCACTCCACCCTTCCTCCCCTTTCGTCCTCACCCTCGTCTTCCTCCCTCAGGTGTTGCCCCAGCTGGTGTGGGATGCTAAGGGCCGTTTTCCCGGCCCGGACTTCCTGTGTCGGCTGGTTAAATACCTGCAGGTGCTCGGGATGTTCGCCTCCTCCTACATGATCGTTGCCATGACGATGGACCGGCACTACGCCATCTGCTGCCCTCTGCTGGCGCACCGCAGCGGCGCCACCCAACGCTGGAACAGCTTCATACTGCTCGCCTGGGGGCTGTCGCTGCTGCTCAGCCTGCCACAGGTAGGGTGATACAGGTAGGGTGATACAGGTAGGGTGACAGGTAGATTGACACAGGTAGGGTGATACAGGTAGGGTGACACAGGTAGATTGACACAGGTAGGGTGATACAGGTAGGGTGATACAGGTAGATTGACACAGGTAGGGTGATACAGGTAGGATGATACAGGTAGGGTGATACAGGTAGGGTGATACAGGTAGGGTGACACAGGTAGATTGACACAGGTAGGGTGATACAGGTAGATTGACACAGGTAGGGTGACACAGGTAGGGTGATACAGGTAGGGTGATACAGGTAGATTGACACAGGTAGATTGACACAGGTAGGGTGATACAGGTAGGGTGACACAGGTAGATTGACACAGGTAGGGTGACACAGGTAGGGTGATACAGGTAGGGTGATACAGGTAGATTGACACAGGTAGGGTGATACAGGTAGGGTGATACAGGTAGATTGACACAGGTAGGGTGATACAGGTAGGGTGACACATGTAGGGTGATACAGGTAGATTGACACAGGTAGGGTGACACAGGTAGGGTGATACAGGTAGGGTGACACAGGTAGGGTGACACAGGTAGGGTGATACAGGTTGGGTGACACAGGTAGATTGACACAGGTAGGGTGACACAGGTAGGGTGACACAGGTAGATTGACACAGGTAGGGTGACACATAGTAGGGTGATACAGGTTGGGTGATACAGGTAGATTGACACAGGTAGGGTGATACAGGTAGGGTGACACAGGTAGGGTGACACAGGTAATTAAAGGTGGTGACACAGGTGGGTGAACAGGTAGGGTGACACAGGTAGATTGACACAGGTAGGGTGATACAGGTAGGGTGACACAGGTAGATTGACACAGGTAGGGTGACACAGGTAGGGTGATACAGGTAGGGTGACACAGGTAGATTGACACAGGTAGGGTGATACAGGTAGGGTGACACAGGTAGGGTGATACAGGTAGGGTGATACAGGTAGATTGACACAGGTAGGGTGATACAGGTAGGGTGACACAGGTAGGGTGATACAGGTAGATTGACACAGGTAGGGTGACACATGTAGGGTGATACAGGTAGATTGACACAGGTAGGGTGATACAGGTAGGGTGACACAGGTAGATTGACACAGGTAGGGTGACACAGGTAGGGTGATACAGGTAGATTGACACAGGTAGATTGACACAGGTAGGGTGACACAGGTAGGGTGATACAGGTAGATTGACACAGGTAGGGTGACACAGGTAGGGTGACACAGGTAGATTGACACAGGTAGATTGACACAGGTAGGGTGTACAGGTAGGTGATACAGGTAGGGTGACACAGGTAGACCAACACAGGTAGGGTGACACAGGTAGGGTGACACAGGTAGGGTGACACAGGTAGATATTGACACAGGTAGGGTGACACAGGTAGACTGACACAGGTAGGGTCATACAGGAAGCAGGGGCATTTACAAATGGCCACACGCCTCTTTGCCCCTCCAGGTTTTCATCTTCTCCCGTTCAGAAGTGGCTCCAGGTGTCTACGAGTGTTGGGGACACTTCGCTGAGTCGTGGGGCCTCAAAGCCTACGTCACCTGGATGACCGTAGCCATCTTCATCCTCCCCGTCCTCATCATCACCGTCTGCCAGGTAGAGACCGACGGACCAGAACTCATAAATAAATATTCTGGTGGTTTATTTACTGTCTCTGATCCATCAGGTTCGAATCTTCAAGGAGATCCACAACAATCTGTACCTGAAGTCAGAGCGCCGCCTCTCCCCCGCCTCCCTCCCTCCCTCCAGACGGGACAGCCAGAGAGGAGGAGGAGGAGGAGGAGGAGGAGGAGGAGGAGGAGGAAGAGGGAGGTCCAGTCTCCCTCTGTATGTTTCACCACTCATGTTCAACAACCCAGTGAACCACAGCAGCTTTGACCCTGCTGGATCCTCCTACCAGCACCTGCCTCTGGGTCCACTGAGGTCCAACAGCATCCCTCCTCACTGCGATATCCACACCTACACCACCGTTCACCCAGGTGAGAGCACAGAGGGGACACTGCTGGACCTTTAGATTACCCTACTGACCTTTCTCACAGCAGCTATTCTGACATAAAGTAGTAGGACAAACTCATCATATCCCCTTTGTGCCTGCGTCAGCGTTGTGGTTGTCTGCCAGAAGCTGTCATACATTGACTGTTGATCCAGTCTGAAGCCACATTGTTACCATCCACTGTTTAGATCTTGGTGCTTTTTAACTCTAGATTTGAACCGGATGAAGGATTTTAGTCATCGGACGTCTGGATCTTAAGTTATCAGAGAAACAAGCTGAGCTAACGTTAGCAGCAGCTCGGCTCGCAGCCCCTCCGGGACGTCCTTTGTCTGTCCAACAGCGTGGGAGAAGCAGTGATTGTTAAGGTGGAACTGCTTTATTCAGTGTGTTTAAGGTGGAACTGCTTTATTCAGTGTGTTTAGTGGTTTTAATCAGCGGGTCTGTTTGTGTTGGAGAGGAGGAGACCTCTGTGGATCATTGGGCTCCCGGTAGAAACCTCCTGAACCATGAACACTGAAGGAATCCTAACCGGGAGAAGCTGACTGCAATGACACCAATGGTGGTGAAGACAACAACTCCCATGATCCCACGCTGCTTCACCACCTCTTTAAACTTCCTCTTCTGTTATTGTTTTGATGTGAGAGAGCCCCTAGTGGCAGAAATTACATACTGTACCTTTAAATGTGATAGAATATTTATCTGAATCAGGTTACAAGGATCTATAAGTTGAGTTTTACAGGCAGGAAACAGACAAACACATAAATGATGTTGCTTTTAAAAGCTGTTATAAAGTACAATATGTGAGATAAATCCCTCTGATTTGTTTCTTTGTGTGTTCCCGGCCAGCCGAGCTGCAGCCTGACATTCTGCCCGACCCTGCGGCGCCCTCTGCTGTCTGCTGCCCGCCACACAAACCCCTCGCCGCCCGCGGTGGAGAGGTATCGGCAGCCATGTCGAAGACGGTGAGGATGACGCTCGTCATAGTGCTCGTCTACTCGCTGTGCTGGGCCCCGTTCTTCAGCGTCCAGCTGTGGGCCGCCTGGGACCCCGAACCGCCGCAGAACGGTAACGCCAGTTTGTTTCCTTTTGACTGCTGTGAGAATGTGGATTGTTGTAGTAGCGTAACCTGTGGTTAAAGGTACAATGTGTTATTACTGCCACTAGGGGCTCTCTCACATCAAAACAATAACAGAAGAGGAAGTTTAAAGAGGTGGTGAAGCAGCGTGGGATCATGGGAGTTGTTGTCTTCTAGGATTCCTTCAGTGTTCATGGTTCAGGAGGTTTCTACCGGGAGCCCAATGATCCACAGAGGTCTCCTCCTCTCCAACACAAACAGACCCGCTGATTAAAACCACTAAACACACTGAATAAAGCAGTTCCACCTTAAACACACTGAATAAAGCAGTTCCACCTTAACAATCACTGCTTCTCCCACGCTGTTGGACAGACAAAGGACGTCCCGGAGGGGCTGCGAGCCGAGCTGCTGCTAACGTTAGCTCAGCTTGTTTCTCTGATAACTTAAGATCCAGACGTCCGATGACCTCTCCCTGTTGTGTGTGTGTGTGTGTGTGTGTGTGTGTGTGTGTGTGTGTGTGTGTAGGGGCAGTGTTCACCCTGCTGATGCTGTTGGCCAGCCTGAACTCGTGCACCAACCCGTGGATCTACTCCGCCTTCTCCAGCAGCGTCTCTCCGGAGCTCCGACTGCTGCTGCTCTGTCGCTCACACACACAGCGCCGAGGATCGTTACCGAACGACTCCACCACCACACACACCTCCAACTACTGAACACACACACACACACACACACACACACACACAAATACACAGCTGAGTTTGTATCTGTACACGTTGATTGTTGTAGTTTTGAGGATCAATCTCATCTGTCTGTGAATTAAAGGGACAGTTCACTGATATTAATTAATACAGATTGTTTTGGCACCAGATAACTCAACAGCAGAACTCAAGACCCTCGTTACTGAAGGTACTCCACATTCTTGGTTGTGAGCAGTTTCACGGAGGAACTATTTTCTTTCTCTACACCCGCCAACCGTATCTGAACGTCAGCTCAGTGAGATAAAACGTTACAGCTCAGTCGAAGACAACATGAAACAGAAATCAGAGTTATTTTCTTCCACATATTTACGTATTTCCTATCAATCTACATCAGTGGTTCCCAACGTTCGTCCTTTAGGGACTCGTTTTATATCACAGCTCACTGACTCGGTGACATCATCTGTGTAAAACGAGTCATTTCCTGTGAATGGTACATCAGAAATTAGTTTTCCTGATATTTTTAGGAACTTTTTATACAAAGCTGTGTCTGTATCGTCTGTTTAATTTTATTTTAAATAATATTAATGATAAGTTTGTGATTCAAAGTTTAGTTCTTAAATAATCTAAACTTTAAAAATAACAATTTAATTTAGTTTTCTTCACAGAAATTAATGAAATGCTGAGATATCGGCCAACTGTGAATATTTTTTAAGTTTTCTTACAGTCCTTGTGACCCCTACTGGGGGTCCCGACCCTCAGGTTGGGAACCACTGATCTAGATGGTATCATTGATTTTGGGGTGTACTGTCCCTTTAAGGTGATAAACGTAATAAGATAATGAAATATGAAGCTAACAAACAACCCGGAGTTGATTACGATTAGAAACAGGAACGTCTAAAGCTCACTGATTAACACTTTATAATGAATCGCACAAAAAGGGTGAAAACAAACAACAATGTGTGGTTTTACGTCGGGTAACGTCGGGTAACGTCGGGTAACTTGATGTAACATGAGGTAACGTGGGGTAACGTCGGGTAACTTGATGTAACATGAGGTAACGTGGGGTAACGTCGGGTAACGTGGAGTAATGTGAGGTAATGTGGGGTAACATGAGGTTACTTGGTAACGTCGGGTAATGTGGGGTAACATGAGGTAATGTGGGGTAACATGAGGTAACTTGGGGTAACTTGGGATAACGTGGGGTAACATGAGGTAACGTCGGGTAATGTGGGGTAACATGAGGTAACGTGTAACGGGGTAACATGAGGTAACATGAGGTAACATGAGGTAACTTCGGGTAACGTGGGGTAACGTGGGGTAACATGAGGTAACGTCGGGTAATGTGGGGTAACATGAGGTAACGTGGGGTAACATGGAGGTAACATGAGGTAACGTCGAGGTAACGTGGGGTAACATGAGGTAACGTGAGGTAATGTGGGGTAACATGAGGGGGTAATCGTGGGGTAACATGAGGTAACGTCGGGTAATGTGGGGTAACATGAGGTAACTTGAGGTAACGTGGGATATCGTGGGGTAACATGAGGTAATGTGGGGTAACGTGGGGTAACGGTAACATGAGGTAACGTGGGGTAACATGAGGTAACGTGGGGTAACGTGGGGTAACATCGGGTAATGTGGGGTAACATGAGGTAACGTCGGGTAATGTGGGGTAACATGAGGTAATGTGGGGTAACGTGGGGTAATGTAGAGTAATGTGGGGTAACGTGGGGTAACATGAGGTAATGTGGGGTAACATGAGGTAACGTGGGGTAATGTGGGGTAACATGAGGTATGTCGGGTAACATGAGGTAACGTGGGGTAATGTGGGGTAATGTGGGGTAACGTCGGGTAATGTGGGGTAACATGAGGTAACGTCGGGTAATGTGGGGTAACATGAGGTAACGTGGGGTAACATGGGGTAATGTCGGGTAATGTGGGGTAACATGAGGTAACGTGGGGTAACGTGGGGTAACATGAGGTAACGTGGGATATCGTGGGGTAACATGAGGTAATGTGGGGTAACGTGGGGTAATGTGGGGTAACGTCGGGTAATGTGGGGTAACATGAGGTAACGTGGGGTAATGTGGGGTAACATGAGGTAACGTGGGGTAATGTGGAGCAATGTGGGGTAACCTGAGTCTGTTAGTGGAACAAACAACAACAACTGTTAGTGGATTGTTGTTGGAACAGCGACTGAGGCCGTATTGATTAGGGACGCACGATAAATCAGGGCAAATGTATATTATTATAAATTATCCAGATAATTAATAAAAGTCCATAATAATAATTTAATTCATTTTTTTTAATGAACTTTACTATAAAAAATAACATTAAGAGTCAGAACAGTTGTTTGTTTGTTTGTTGTTGAGTTATTTTTGAATTAAGTGTGTTTTTGTCTCTGGTGGAGTTTAAGTCTTAAAGTCTCATCGTGTTTTCCCACCAAACACAAAACGAATATTTACCTCACGTTACTCGTGCTAGTTAGACACAAATAAATGCACCGGGTGACATGAATTACAGGAAATAGGCAACAAATAGGGGCAGATTTTGTTTATTTGCCCCTGTAATCTGTCACATATCGTTAGATTAATGTATGTTGGAGGAGTCGAAGCTTCTGGAGGAATAAACAGGAGACAAGAGTTCATTATTATTATTATTATTATTATTATTATTATTATTTATCCGTCTGTGGCCCCCAGAGTGTTACTACTGTGATGCTACTTCATATTTATACAGAGACCCGACAACCAAGGGCACTGATCGGAAGAAAGTCGGTTATTTTACTGTTTTTTGTCGAATTAAATAAGATATACGTGTCAATCAGTGAGCTTCAGACTGATGTGTCTGTTTCCAGTCTTTGTGCTGAGCTAAGCTACGTGGCTGTTAGTCACATTGATCCCACCACAATAAAGCAAATGAGCTTTATTTGGCTAATATCCGACTGTTTCTGTTAGTAAATATAAATTATTTACATATATTTAAACTGCTGTAATAAAACTGTATAAAATGTAATTAATGTGAATTTGTGTGTTTGTGTGATTTTACAGAACAAAACAAACAAAAGATTTGTTTTAAAAACCGTTTAATCATTCTCTCAGCAGTCATAGAAACACTGCGAACATACAAAACATAAAAACTCAACTAAAGCCACTAAAATACATAAAAAAAAAAAAAAAGAAATGTTATTTTCCAGGAAATTAATACAATGATTTATTTGTTTTGTATCTATTGTACAGTACCGTTATTAAAAACCCTGCGACATTCAGTGTTTCAGTTCACCTCAAATTCTGAATATTTATATTTCATAGGATATTTCAGGTAGAAATATTCTCCCATTGATACCAACAACACCTTAAAACGAAGGGTTCAAGATCCAACAACCTTTACAGCTTTTACACTGTGATAGTAAAGAACTGGTTCAATACATCTGGTGAGGAGGAAGAAGAGAGAAATCTTTAACGAGCCCATCAGAGTTAAAAAGCAGTAACAACTGATCACACTGTTTGTGTCAATAAAATCCCCTGAAAAGATCAATAAACTAATGTGAGCCAACGTTCACGTTTTTAGGGAAACTCATAAAACCCCAAAATGACTGATTTCACAGCAAATTTTCAAAATAAAATAATTCCTACAAAATAAAATAAGTCGAAGGCAAATTGTTCCAGTGAGAATAAAATCAATAGGACTGTTTATTATTGATAACAGTCACTGGAAACATCAATAAATCGGTCAAATTTGAGCAAAAGTTGCGTCGATTGGACAAAACCGACGAAAACCGTTGCGATCGCAACTTCCTGATGAATTAGTATCAATAATAACACTTTATTTTTGTTTACCCTTGTTTACTATTTAATGTTAAAATAGTATCTTTATGAAGGAGTGAATTAAGAGTGCTGCCACAAACGGACCACTACTCACATCTTCTGAGTACCCCTACTTCTCACTGCGTACCGCCAACTACTGGTGAGTCCAGGTACGCTCCCCTAAACAACAACAACAACAACAACAACAGCAACGTGTTAGCTTAACATTCCCACAATGCAACAGGTGAGTTTATACAGGTGAGGCTGTGCCACAGTGAACCCGTTATTGACGACACTAAAATGTGTGAAATGTCAGTTTAATGTAGAGAGACGAGTCAGAGTCTGTTACTCTGGAAGTAGTGAATGAATGTTTCAGTTTAATTCGTTGTCGGTCTTTTCAAGGGATTTGTTGAGTAAAATATAAATATATAAAATCCCTTTATAGTATTCGTATAAAGCTCAGGGTTAGATATTGACACCACTTCAGGAAATTATCACAGTCTTTAAAAAGTTCAGAATTATTTCTTTTCGTCACAAAACTTTCTGAAACATTTAAAAGTTCAAACGTTATAAAAACCAAATGAATTGTTTTAAACCTCCATTTATTTCCCCTCATCGGGAGAAAGTAAGGAAAAGCTGATTCTTCCCGTTTTCCTCCGGTCGGATCAATACAACCAAAAACCTTCAGCAGCAAACTGATCGCTGATCAATACATCAATAACCACTGAGTGATCGGTTCGTTGTGGATCTGATATGACACATTCTGCACAGCTTTAGAGACGAACTGCGACACGAGTTGATACTGAATCTGCACACACACACACACACACACACACACACACACACACACACACACACACTCTCAGACTCCATTACAAAGATTACTTCCTGTCAGATTGTCGTTAAACACTGAGCTAAAACAGATTTAGTTTTAAATTACAAAGGTTTTTTTTTTATCTGATAGAACTGTAAACTAAAATGTTAATTCACAAATAAAAACAACAACACAACGTTTCCTTTAATCCAGAACGATGAGAATTTAGGATTGTGTGCGATTCAGAGTGAGATTTGTTCCTTTTCTCTCTCACAGTCAGTAAAATAAAAACCCATCAATCTGGTACAATCACAGCCCCCCCCACCCCCCCCAATAAACTCAGCGTGTGGCGTCATTTAATACTGCGAGCGGCCTCGTCCTGTTGGTCGCGCAGCAGAAAGGATCTGTGTGAGCCGCTCTGGTCGGAGGGTGTATGATACAACATTACACACACAAAGTGCACACGGAGTCGTTAACGGCGCCTCCTACACGGCGAGCATCGTGACCTCCTGGTTCTCTGACTCCTGTCCGTCCTCTAAAGATTCCTACATTCGTTTTTTTAACTCCTTCACCGTCCTTTGTTCTCGTATTTTTTTTAAAGTATTTCTAAATTTTTGTGCCTCGTGTGTTTGACCAGAGGCGTTGTTAGGATCCTCAAACGTCCCAGACATCTTTTAGAGTTTCACCTGATAATAGTTTTCAGGTTATTTGCGGTTCTGCTCGGGCTGCCTCTCTCTCTCACGAGCTGAAATAAAAATAAAGTAAAAAGAGTTCAATCTAATTCAACTGTTAGTATTTTATCTTCAGCAGCAGCGAAACACTAACAAAGTGCAGAGAGGGCGAGTTATTAACAGCTGGTGGGAGTCAGCGTCCAGTCTGAGAGTCGTAAACAGCACTGGTAGCATCCCGGCTGCGTCAGCGTACTTTGCGAGCAACTGATTTTCGTTTTGAAATGAGAAACAAGTTGTTCCCTGACTCCTTATTATCGATCAGTATTCTATTGCTATTATTGTATTATACATATATTATTATATGATATCTCCTCCTCTCACCTGCACCTTTCAGCCATTCATCAAACATTTGTTCCTAACGACGCCGCTGTCCTCGGGTTAAACATTTAATCACCGCAGACATAAAAAAAAAGTCATTTTACTTCATATCTTCTCGACTGCATAAAAACCTGGAAATCTCTCTGAGTCTGAACTAACGTGTGAACGCAGAGTTTTACTGCTACGCCGAGTGTTTGTCGTCGTATGTGAGGGAAGGTCTCTACGTACTGTAACAATAAAACGTCCTGTTTGAGTGTTTCTGTGCGTGAGGTTTCTAAAACCTTAACGGCAGCTCAAGACCCTGAGAGTAAAGTCCTCCGTGTGTCTGGTGTTTTATATGAGCGGCGTTCGCGGGGGACTTACCGAAGGCACGTCAGATACCCAAACCCAGAGGTCTCGACGAGGCTGCGTGACGAACGTTACAGTCGGGTAACATCACAGCAGCAGGTCTCAAGTTTTTATTGATAAGGTATTTGTTTCTATGGCTTCAGGGTTGTGTGAAAGGGTGTTATCTCTTTATGAAGTGTGTAACTGCAGCTTTCCTGTGTGTTCCTATAAGTGTGTGATGCAGTGTGTGCGTCCTTAAAAAAAGTCCCTTTTTAAAAAAAAGTCCTCTACACCGTGTCCTCGTCCATCTTGGCGACTTCATCCAGTGTGACAGCGGCCGGCACGTTGTTCTCCTCCGCCTCCTCGTCCGATTTTGACGGCGAGGGAGGCGCTAACATGGCGGTGCGCTCCTCCTTGGGCTCCTCCCTCTCTCTTCTCTCCTCCTCTTTCCTCTCCCGCTCCAGCAGGCGGTAGTTGAGGCCCATTCCCAGGAAGAGGACCACACTCGCGACGATGAGGATGATGCCGGAGGAGATGTAGGTGTAGTCGTAGTGGTTGTAGTAGTTATAGAAACTACCTGGAGGGGCACAAAGGGGACAGAGACCAGAGAGATTTAATCCTGATAAACAACGTTAAACTTCATTTAATAAAGTGAGGAAGGAAGGTTTTAAGCTGTCTGAATAACCACGACCGGGTGTCTCACCTGTTAGCGGCGGGCCCAGCAGCACCGGGCCGCACTCCACTATAGTGACCAACCCCACGGCGGAGGAGAACCTCTGAGCTCCCACCAGGTCCATCAGAGTCTCGAACAGCACCGCGCTCAGCCAGCCGAAAGCAAAACCAAAGAAGATGGCGTACACCACAAATCCGGTGTAGTCGACGGACAGCGGCGCCAGCACGTGACACACTCCGTTGTAGAGGACGGCGGCGGCGAAGAAGTACTGCACCCTGGGCCGGACCCACCTGGTGTTGGCCAGCATGCCCATGGAGGGCCGGGCGAACATATCCACGAACGCCAGAACGGAGAGCAAGAAAGCAGCTTTCTCTTTGCTGATGTCTTTACTCTTGGCGTAATTGGAGAGGAAGACGAGCGGAGCGAAGAGGCCGAAGAACATGATGACGTTGCCACCCAGGTAGAGCAGGAAGCCGCGGTGTTTGAACAGCGTCAGGTCGATGAAGGAGTTGATGGTCTGCAGGACCGTCTTCTTCGGCTGCGGCTGCACCGAGTCCTCCGCCTTGGCCTCGCCGACCTCCGAGTCGGGCTTGGCCGGCTGAGGTTTGGGTCCGATGGGGCGCATGAGCGAGCCGGCCACGCAGCAGTTGAGCAGAAGTCCTCCCAGGATGAGGAAGCTGCCTCTCCACCCGAACGTGTCGTACAGCCAGGAGTTCAGAGGAGCCAGGGTGGACAGAAACACGGGGCTGCCCGCCATGGCGATGCCGTTGGCGATGGGCCGACGCTTGTAGAAGTATTTACCGATCATAGTGAGGGCGGGATTCAAGTTGAAAGCCAGTCCCAAACCTAAAGAGAGAGAAAACGAAGGTTACACGAGGAGAGGAGGACAAAATGAGCATCTATCAAAATACTACAAATTTTATTGAATTTATGAAAATACTTAATTTAATATAATTAAATCAAAAATAAGTTTATCCTTTCCTGATACAGGGGTTATGATTCAATATATTAAGAGACAGTGAGCAACATCCAACATCACAGCCCTCAGTTTATGTTTACAACACTGCTCTCTAGTGGTTGCTGGTTCAAACATCAATACAGTGTTCTTCTGAATCAATTTAATATCACAAGTTGCGATATTTGATTTTTCTTACACTCGTTCTTTCCTGTAACATTCAGTTTCAATATGATATAATACCATTCGCATACAGTGAAGGTGAGATAGTGAGCGGAGGTTAAATTAATGGTTAGAAACACTGAAATCGTGCCTCCAAACAGAAACTACTGGGAGGAGAAGTCTGGACCAGGAGGAACCTCTTTTCTACTAAACTAGCTCTGCTTCTTTAACTGGTTCCATTCAAGATTCAACAACAATAAATAATCTTCTTATTGAGGAATAAACCTTCCTCCTGTGTGAACTTCAGAAAGGGACATTTTACTGTGTGTGGTACATTTAAGACAGAGAGGAGTAAAATACTGACCCCCCACTACTCCTATGAAGAAGTAGAGCTGCTCCACAGTGTTGCAGAAGGAGGCTGAGACCAGTCCCGACCCTGCCAGACAGCCACCGAGCATCATGATTGGTCGGCTGCCAAATTTGTTCACCAGGATACTGCTGAGAGGACCTGGAGAGACAGACAGAGACGGTGAGATAAATCAGGAGTCGTCATTAATCGGCATCTGCTGGTTGCAGCTTCTCAAACGTGAGGATTTGAGCTGAAAAAATGTAATTTGTCACAATTTTATGATCTTTTATAGACTAAATGAATAAATCGTATTGTAAAAAATAATCAACAGATTGATTGATTGATAAAATCAACATTTCAAACAAGAATATCTTAGTTCCAGCTTCTTTATAAGGAGGAACTGCTGGTTCTCTTATGGGATAATTAGACTGAATATGTTTTTGGGCTGGATAAAAGAAAACACTTTCCATTATTTACTGACATTTTATTGACCATATCATTAATCAATAAATAAAATAATCATTAGTAAAAACACCAACAAGTGTAATAAAACTGCACTAGTGCAATATACAATTTAATTACATCATCTGGCCATTTTAACTTTCCCCCAGCAGGCGGTGCTAGAGGGGCAGAAATACAGGAGGGACAATGAGGGATTGTGTAACAGCGGCCGGGTTGCATGGATGTTACATGAAGGAAGGAGGGAGGGAAGGAGGGAGGGAAGGAGGGGAGAATGAAAGGTCAAAGAGGGAGAGGGAGCCAGGCAGTGTGAGGTATTCACGTCAGAGTGGGAGTAATGTACAGCGGGAGATCAAATGTATGGAGGGAGAGAGGGAGAGAGGAGAGAGGAGAGAGGAGGGTCGAGGCGGTTCCACGTGTCCCAGCTAGCGTGCCAGCCTCTCTATGAATGGACCTTCACATGGACGGAGACTGACACCGACTCTGCTGGATAATGAATACAGAGTGAAGCTGTGAAGCATCTTTACAGAAAAGGTCGATGAGCAGGAAGTGAACCAGTCAGATTATAACCGTCAGTGCGGCTGTTACATCTGCAAGAATCTGGAGATACGATCCCGACACAGGGGCAACGGTTCAGTATATTGATTTATAACACAAGATCATATAAAGTCATCGTATAAAGAAGACACGACAGAGGCTGTTGCATCCAAATCTATTATAAGTGGTGAAAGAATGAAGTGTAGTAACGTATAAATCACAGAACCTCCTCCTGTATTCTCACTCTCAACAAGTTGCCTTCGATTTAACAACTATTTTACTAATTTTCACTTTCTAAAGCAGTTTAATCGCAAAAAAAAGCCCCTAAAAACATCACAACATGCATCAATTTGTTGTAAGAGCCCGTATAATCCTGGAGGTCCTAATTATGTGTGACAGAGGCTACGACACAGTTAACACTCTTCCTATATCTTCTAGCAGGGTGCTCTCAGTCGGCATCCATTTCCTCACAACCAGCCAACGGCCCCTGCACACAGACACATGGTGGCTTTGCCCTTGAGAGTTGGCAGCGGACCACAAAGGCCCCCGGGGGCACTCACACACTCACTAAATACCCCCCCCCCCCCCCTCTCTCTCTCTCTCTCGGATACCTAGTTTTCTGTGTTATGTCTGTCACTGAGGGTCCGACCAGCTGGCATGGAGCCCGTCTCGGTGGGTTTCCATGTTTAAAGAGGCTCTACCGACACACACACACACACACACACACACACACACACACACACACACACACACACACACACACACACACACACACAGCAGCGAACCTGTACAAGGACAGGAATGAATCCGAATCCACTCAACGCTCACGCACACATTAATAAATCAGGAGTGACAGTCTTTGTTGCTGTCTGGCAAAACACAAAGAGGGCAGTGAGTAGTGTTCTCAGAGATATTATATAAACGATTCCCCCCCCACCCCCAACCCCCCCTCCATCGTTTGTTCTGTTTCTCTCTGTGAAATAAAGAACAGCCCTGAGTGGAGGAGACTCAGCTTTAAACTGACACAGCATCCCCAAGTGAGACAAGCACACGTCGAGCGTGAACCCGGCTGCAACGAGCTCTTCCTCAGTCTAATTTTAGCAGAGACGCTTCTGCTTCTTACCGTGAAACATTCTCCTGTAAGTGTTTTCATTCTATACAACAAACCCAAACACCCCAACAGCTTCCTCGTCTTATTCATTTCACTCCACTAACTGCGGTGTGAGGAGGGAGAGCAGCAGCTGCCGATGACTCAGTCCTACCAGAAACTAGAAGAGAGAAGAGGAGAACAGCTGATTGGATTTGCCCCAACAGTTCAATGAATCACATTCGTCCATCTGGACTGAGCCTTTCAAGGGATAGTTAGCTGGCTTGGTTCTGTGCAAAGGTTAAAACAATCTGCCAACCAGCAAACTTAAAGCTGTTGGTTTCATCCATTAAAGGACCAGTGTGGAAGATTTAATGGTTAAGTTGGAGACTGCAACCAACTGAATACTGCTCAGCCTTCCCAGCGTGCAGGAGAAACTACGGTGGGCTCTGTAGATAAAATTATTAATTATTATTATTATTATTATATTTCTGCCAGTAGATCCTCCTGAATGTTACTCAACCTTTAATAACTATGTAAAAACCAAATTTATTGAACTGAGCATAAATCTAAACTCTCCCTCTCCAGCCGCATCACGCTTAATCATATCAATATCCTGTAACCCCCCCGAGCACTGACTGCATTAACACAGGCTGGTGTGCACTCATGCTCTCACTCCACACACACACACACACACACACACACACACACACACACACACACACACACACACACAGAGACTGCAACCCACACGTGACTCGTGACTACTGTTGTAAGTTCAGCATGCTTATAGCGTTTGCGTGTGTGGTTGAGTTGTGAGTAGAGGGAAGTGAAGTTGTTCTAGTAAATGTTTAGTGTAAGTCAGTTTTCTCAAGAATAAACGCTGCAGCTCCTCGATACTCAATTAGTTCACGTCTCGCTTCCCAGCTGCTGGAAGCTGACAGCTGCAGGTTAACACTACACTACACCCAGAGCCATGTAGAGACAGGGGTTAGGGTTAAACCTCTCTTTTTCTGCTGTCAACCATTTTAATTCCTCAAACTATAGACTGATGGTATCTGTGACGTCTCCCACAGGTTTATGAAGAGCTGTTGTGAAGCTCACTGTCGTCTGGTTGTTGCTATTTAATAAATAAATGGCTGGAAACATGTTTATTTCTGCTGTAACGTTGGACATTTTAATATGGGGCCTTATGGAGGTTAACCAGTGCTACCAGTGGAAGTTAGTCTGCACACACACACACACACACACACACACACACACACACACACACACACATCTGTCTTTCTTCAGGCTCTTTTCGCTCCCACACAAGAACAGAGAAAGTCCACAGATCACAAGATAAGTGAGAAAGAGAAGTCCTATGTCAGCGCTCCCACTCAGCGTTTCATGACAAAAAGGCCTTTTTCCAACATAAGATCCTCAAATTGGAGAAACTGAGAAGTTAAGGGACAATGTTTGTGTTTGTAACTCCAACACACCTCTAATCCACGAGGATTAACCAAACTAGGAGCAAAACATGGGCATATTTTTCTAAATAATCCTCTTTTTTCCCCCTCAGACTGCGTAACTGAGTTATACATTATATTTCCAGTAAGTGTGAAGTAATCTTTTGATTTACTTTTTAATTCCAGGTCACTGTAACAAGCCGTCTGAATCTCCCTCATGAAAACAAACAGAGGAGGGTATGTTTGTTGGTTTCTGTATCTACATTTTGTTTTATATTATATTGCAACCAGGTTCCTCGTTTAAAAAACAGGGTAAATATCTACAGTTCAGGCCAAAGTTGGAAAGTTGATGGGAAAGATAAATCCCTATAAAATGGCCTAGAAAGAATTACCGGAGTGTCACTTTATTATTAAATCAAGATTAATTGCTGGACCACTGAAATTATTCCTGTATTTTCTGGTGTTGTAGCTCATCTGTGAAGCACTTACTGAACTACTGAATCATCACTGCTGTTACATGCAGTGATCTTTTTCCTCCCAAATGTAATAATTAGTCTCTTTGACGGTTCCCACTAAAGTATTTATGTGAGTACTGAATAAAACAATGAGACACAGCATCCTGTTAGTTGCAATAGACCAAATTTAGACTTTAAAAATCAGACACTTGGCACCATTACTGGGTTTGCTGCAGTGATTTTGTACTGAAGTATCTGAGCTGAGAGGAGCCTTCTGTTTATCTTTCCCGCCCTCGTACATACTGCCAATTCAGAGAGTTCCCCTGAGAAAGTTTCTCCCGTCTGCTTGTAAATGACAAATAAATGGTGGAAAGTTTGTGTATATTTTTCTTAGATTGAGCCAGATTTTTTTATTTACAAATGAGATGTTATTTAAAAAAGGGAACTCCTCTCAGGGTTCCCACTCTTCTTAAGGAATCCTTTTTCAGGAGTTTTCTTGACAACACAGGACAGGTAGGTGGTTAATGGACTCTTAGTTAGTTAGTTCCACTGTTCTCACCACAGACTGTTCCCGTGTAACGTCTCCACTGATTTGACAACCGTTAACGAAGCTGATCTGAATGAGAGGCTGAAATGCAATTAAAGTTCTCCAGGACAACACAGATTATTTCCTGGATATTTGGTCATTTTAATCAGTTTCCAGCATCAGTTGGGGCCGAAGACTTTCAACTTTACTGCCACATCTGACATGTGATACAGCTCATACAGACAGAGTTGTTGATCTTGTTTCTCCTGTTGACAGAGCTGTTTGTTGCAGTGTGGACTACGTTGACTCTTCTTGTTGACAGTTTCATGCCTTCAAACTAACAAACGTGCTTCACATTGCTTTCTTCCTTATTTCCGCGGAGCCATTTTTAACTGGTTCACGCCATTAGTCAACTGCCACTGACGTCATCCAGCCACAATGAATGAATACGTGTGTGGGGTTTTTTTTTAATTTATTTTTTTTACCTTTGTGGAAGTCAGTGTGTGTACGTGCGTTGCCTCATGTGCAACCAGTGAGTAATGTGTATGGTTACAGCGCTCATAATACAGTAAAAGCAGCCATAATACCGCCATTAACTGGTGATCTAGCTGAATTGTGAAACAAGGGTTAGGGTTAGGGAAAATTTAATTTAAAAAAGAAACTACGTTAACATCTGGCTCCTGTTACGCAATTTCACTCTTCCTCTCTGTTTCCTCTCCTCAATGTGTAACTGTGCTGCAGCAGGCTGGCAGCAGCTCTAAAGAAGGATGCATGAGTAAGTGGAAGGAACAGATACCATTTTTAGATATGTAGATGTGAACTGACAGACAGAGAGAGAGGGAAAACGAGGTGATGGTGTGTCGCACGTAGGGTGTGTTAAATAAACGGGGAGAGACAGAGAGAGAAAGAGACAGAGAGAGACACAGAGAGAGAGAGAGAGGGAGAGAGTTTGGATGAGGAAAGGCTTTGCTTTGTGTCTTGAGACAGAAAGAGAGAAACCTGATCTGAAACCTCACCTCACCTAACCTGAAACTTGATCAGAGTCTTTCTCTTTCTTAAATCCTGCCTTAACATGCGGATGGAAAAGGTTGTTTTTGTAGGAGTGCAAATATAAAAAGGGGTCACTGAGTGCAAGAACTGGCTGTATTCAAGTTATTAATATATAAGACTCTCTCTGCTGAAACATCTCCACAACCATAAGATGGATCCTACTGACTTTGGGGATCCTTTCAGCTTCACATTTGTAGTGTTTAGTAAAAATATCTTGGCAACAGTTTGATGGATTAACATAAAATCTGGTTCAGGCATTCTTGTTCCCCTCAGGATGAATTGTAATAAAATAAGTGCTGTTTTAAAGCCTCAAGTGAGAGTTAAAATCTGATTACACACAAAACCAGTAAAATAATATTTACATTTTTTAGTCTTTTCCTTAAATTGCAAACCCTAGTTTTTGGACTAGTGTTTTTATTCCTCCTGCTACAGCGTACCGTAAACCCTGTGATGTGTAATTTAGTCATTAATTCAACGTGTGATTCCACGCCCCCCCACACACAGCAGCTTTAGTTGGATTACAGTGGAACAAATATGTTCTAATGCTTGTTTTCATATTGCACTTGTAGGCACTCTAGGAAAGTACCCATTTCTCAGTGTCTCCTGCTCTCCCTTCAGCAGTAAGTGTTATTCAAGCTGTGAGTGAATCAGAGCGATGAGGATGACTGATAGAGGAGCAGAGAAAACAAGAGGCTTGTGTTAGTTTCTCTCCAGTAAAGGATGAATGGTAAAAAGGTAGAGCCTCACAGGACACTAAAAAGCCATCCTCACAAAAGAAACAGATTTAAAAGGACGAGCATTAAGTTTCAGATTGCTACTAACTGACCTGGGTGTGCAGGAGAAACTACGATACGCTAGAAATGGCTTGAAAATGAATGTCCTATGTCTGCTGTGTGCAACATATCAGGGTTCAGACAACTTACTTAACCCTTCTAAACAACATAAATACACAAAAATGTGTTTTATTAACTTCCTGAACAGTAACAGGAATAAACAACAACACTCACCTCCCGCGTACATCACAGCCAGCATGATGGAGGAGATCCACGACACCTGACTGGGTGTGGCGCTGAAGATGATCTCTATCTCTTTGAAGAACACTGTGATGGATTTGGGGAAAGCGTAGGAGAAGCCAATGGAGATGAAGGCCCCCACAACCACCGCCCAGCCCCAGCCACCTTCAGGGGGGGTGTACCCCACGGGCCCACCCAACGCTGGAGGCATGTCTGCTCACGAAGGAAGAGGAAGAACAACGAGAAGATCGAGAAAGGAGGCGATGTCTGGAGGACAAGCTGGGTTCGGAGGAGATGAAAAGCCTGGACCAGGATTTAAAACCTGTGGGAGGAACAAGAGCAGAGAGCAGGTACAAGTCAGCACAGATGGTGTAAGAAGATAAACACATTCTTCATCCTTCATCCATCCTTCCAGCGTCTTAGCATTTCTATCTAATTTGCTTTCGGCTGCAAGATGAAATACATGGAAAAAGAGGGATGAGGAGGGAGGGAGGAAGGGAGAAGATAACAGTAAAACAAGGAGGATGTAAACTAAATATTTATGTAATAATTTCTTAAATCACAACGCCCAGTGCCGTCATGATGAGAAAGAGCCTCTGTGCTGGGCCGCATGCCAACATACCAGCAGTAGACAAGCAGTTTATCTAGATTATTTATCTTACAGACCGATGCACAAACATTAGACCATGAGAACCTTAACTTTCTTATACTTCAATCAGGACACAAGTACGTTTGCCCATCAGCTGTGGTTATGCCCTAAGTTTTAGTTTTATTTCATTTGAACAGATTAAAAAATACATACTAATAACAATGGTCCCAGAATGGAGCCCTGTGGAACCCCACCGAGAAGACTGGCTTTGTTGGAATAAAACGTAATAAGACATAATTCTTTACATTTGCATTCAGCATCATGAAAACCATATTTACACAGCTTTTCAAATAAAATATGATGGCTGACTGTACTGTAACATCTCCAAATGTCCCATTTTGTCTCAGTTTACTATCATATGAACCAATTACAAGCTGCAAATACTCCCAATTTAAAAGCTGGAACTAGAGAATGTTTTGCTTAAAGCTTCACCTGTGCTCAGAAGAATATCTCTCTCTCTCTCTCGCTATTACTCATCCACAATAAGGTTAAATTTCCTAGTAACTATGCCACGTAACAAAATACCTGTTAACATTCGAAGGGGCCTGATGAGCCAGTTCGCCTGTTGAAATAAAAAAACAGTCTCTAGTTACACACTAAGAAAAAAGACTACCTGGAAATTTGGCAGAAGTTACGTTTCATTTGAGCTCTCTATGTGGCAGGACTCATGAAAAATAAATGGCAGTGTGCAAACTGAGTGTGAGAACTGAGAGCTCAACCTCAGCTCCTCCAACCAGCTGGTAACCAAACTGTTATACGTCTAATGTTGAACTAACTGCAGCAGTTCATTAAATATTTTAGTGACAGTTTTCAAAACAGCTCCAGATCCCTGGGCTTCTTCAACGGCCGCATCCATGTAAACGTCCATTTAGGCCGCACATAACTGAGCTATTTATGGCCGGCTCTGAAATCAACTCTGTTACTGTTTGGGGCCATTTACCTTACATGGACACTGTGTGACGACTACAAAGAAACTTTAAACAAGGTGGACTCTAGGTATTCCTAGTAAAGGAGCCGTGATATGCACCAGTCTTGGTGTTAGTAGGGCGTGAAATGATGAACAACTCATAATAATATTCAATAATTTCCCCTCAGCATTAAAACTAAAGAAAGTACAAATGTTATATATATAAAAAGGTAGGGAGTAAAACATTATTGTGTTCACTCTATGGGTTCAGTTACTCAGTTCTGTACTGTTATTGTTGTCAATATAAGATGAAATATCCACATAATATGTCACTAAGTTGGTGAAAAGCGTAGTGAACCACTAACATAATGAGGACTAACTGAATAACCGTATGTCCTGATGTACTGAGAGAGGATTCAGTTAGTTGTGTAATAACTAATGAACAGCCAGGTGTCTCCCCTACATGGCATTAAGCCTGGAACATGTTGTAAACAACCTCGCTCCACCAATCATTACACAGTCAGCACGTTACAGTAACTGGTTAACTCGTCTGCGGTCACATTGCGTCCAGACAGCTGCTTCTCTAACATGTCAGGCTGTTGACATTTTACTTCCTGTTTCTTCACCACAAAAGGACTGTGACAGGTTGACCTTCACACGTTACACATGTTGATGCATGAGGAGCATATAGAACAACACTGCTTCTGTCCTCCTTTAACATTAGTAGTATTTGTGTTTGAGTTTCCAGTCAGAGAAAACAGGTCAAACAGCCAGTGAGACAAATCTGATGTGTTAAGAAGGGCGACATTTTCTAGTTGTTTTTAGATAGACAGACAGACAGACAGACAGACAGACAGACAGACAGACAGACAGACAGATAGATAGATAGATAGATAGATAGATAGATAGATAGATAGATAGATAGATAGATAGACAGACAGACAGACAGACAGACAGACAGACAGACAGACAGACACACACACAGACAGACAGACAGACAGACAGACAGACAGACAGACAGACAGACAGATAGATAGATAGATAGATAGATAGATAGATAGATAGATAGATAGACAGATAGACAGATAGATAGACAGACAGATAGATAGACAGACAGATAGATAGATAGACAGACAGATAGACAGACAGACAGATAGATAGATAGACAGACAGACAGACACACACACAGACAGACAGACAGACAGACAGACAGATAGACAGATAGATAGATAGATAGATAGATAGATAGATAGATAGACAGACAGACAGACAGACAGACAGACAGACAGACAGATAGACAGACAGATAGATAGATAGACAGACTTTATTAATCCCCGGAGGGAAATTGGGTAAATGTTTAATGTTTTAGTTCATTCTCTGTTAATGCTGAGCTGTCAGTTATTTCCTTCCCTCCATGCAGTTTCAGTTCTTTCTTGTACACTAAAAAAACTAGCAGACTTTCGCCTGCACTCAGTGAGGTCTATTAATGCTATTAACATTAATTAAATGCTGTTGGTTCAAATATTCGTCCTCTACTGGTTGAAACTCTATCTATTGGCTGATCTGGAGGCGGAGACGGTGGCAGCTTCTGTCACCAACCAAAACCCAAACCCTTGCTCCTATAAAACCTCTCCCGACGCTCGTACACAGACAGCGAAGAGTTAGCGTCTTTGAGCCCCCCCGAATACGCTTCTAGTGACTCAACGCTGCAGCAGAGTCTGACAGCAGCTGGTTAGCTCGGTTAGCACAGTTAGCTCTGACTACTTGCAGCTGTAGTCTCCTGTGGTCGGTGTTACCTCCTGCAGCTACAATGCCACGCCCCCTTATATAATTCTCTCTGCTGCATTATATAAAATGAGTTGTGAGGAAGCGAGCTAGCAGAATTTAGGGGTTTAGTTACTCTCTAATATGAAACAATCAATCAATCTAACTCTGCACCAAATGACAGAGCTGAGGTGAATCATGTGTGAGGGTCCCCCCCCCCACCCAGAATATTGGTTAGCCGAGCTGTGTGTGCGGTGGATTCGGCCTCAGGATGCTTTTGGAGGAGCATGCAGAGAGGCTGAAATGTGACTCTGAGCTCTTCTTCACTATCACATGAAGGAAACTTGGCAAATAAATGATGTACACAAACGCATGTGACTTAAATGCTACTCATTACTCAAGAGATCAGAGCAGTGTGGAGCAATGAGGAGACTGTAACTGTAAAATAAATGTCACATTGCCATCACATTTTCCACATGGGGTTTGCGGTTGTTTTGAGATTTGACTCTTTTAATTATATCATCTTGTAGTGCTCACTGCTTCTTCACACAATATTTTAATGGCATCCAACTGGAGACTCGGTGCCACCAGCAGTTTATCTCGATGCTCCCGACTCCTAATATTTGCATAACACAGCAGTGGATGGAAACTGGCACAAATTTGCATTTTCTTTTGCCAAAATTCTGTAAAACATTGCACTAAAAATGTGTGGAAACCCAACCTGAGACTGACAACGTCTCATAGTCATACTCAGTGTTTGCTTTCGCATTTCTACAACCAGTAAAAAGCCGAGCAAACTCGTGACAAAGACGTGACGATGTTCCCAATTTAGTTACTAAAGGACGGTATAAACAGTATAAACAGTAGCCCCACGTATTAAATATGGAGCTTCGCTGTGTGACGTAGCGTCTCTGCTCGTGTTAACTGATGATTCATGTTACATTTCCGAAGAGTGTATATTTATTTTCCCCGACATTAGCAGAGGCTGTGTTTATTTCAGGCGACACACACATGCTGCTAGAAACCCTGCATTTATGAGTGAATATTAGATTATTTATCAGGCCTACAGGAAGGATGTGTGAGTAGGGTTAGGGTTAAAGATTTCTGTCAATGTTATGTTACTCTCATGCAGCAACTTTCCATGATTAAGGATGGAAAAAGAACCAGTTCTGAGCTGGAATGGGTGCAAATATATATATAAATATACATATACTGGGGAATTCAGTGTGAAACAAGCTTTTTGATTCCACTACGTAAGTCTGTGTGGTGTCACTCATTAGTTAGTGTATTAAAATGAATAAATAATGCTTGGGCTCCACTTCAGGACTGCAGAAGCTCAGGAGGAAGTAGCTCTATTGCATTAATGATATAACATGCTATAGACAAGCCGACCGGAAGGCGTTGGGAAACCAAATGACCACAATACCACAGAAGGAGAAAGTCACGTAGCCTCCGCCTGACTCACTGTGAAACTCCTGTCAGGAAACAACGGCAGTCTTACTGCAGACTCATAATGAGAAAACTTCATCATAACTAAATAACTGCTGCAACATCGGAAAGTAAAAATGTGATTCACCAGACTTTAAGGCTTCAACCAAGAGAAACACAAAGCTTTAGTAATCTGTAACATGTCCTCATTAAAATATCTATAAACTCTAAACCTATCTTATGTAGTTGAGTTCTTAAATTATCCCAAATGTTTCCAACAATGTTCAAACTCAATCTGTCACTTTATTCAGGTAACAAGCTGAGCTAACGTTAGCAGCAGCTCGGCTCGCAGCCCCTCCGGGACGTCCTTTGTCTGTCCAACAGCGTGGGAGAAGCAGTTGTTTTAAGGTGGAACTGCTTTATTCAGTGTGTTTAGTGGTTTTAATCAGCGGGTCTGTTTGTTCTTTGAACCATGAACACTGAAGGAATCCTAACCGGGAGAAGCTGACTGCAATGACGCCAATGGTGGTGAAGACAACAACTCCCATGATCCCACACTTTCTGTTCTTCTACC